CCAGGGACAACACAAGCACCTCAGGTGATGATCCTTCAGAAAGAAAGCAGGAAGTGTACAGACCTGAATGTCCTATGTTTCATGAAGAGTTCAGACTTGCAGCCAAATGTGGAGGCAACACTGTAAAATAATCACAGGATTAAGTTTCCATAAAAATTTCTTTTCTTGACTCATTTTCATTTCTACCTGGCCTTCTGCATCATATCTGCCCCTTCAGCTGTAACAGTTCTAAAACATAGCTACCCAAGAACAAATTTCTGTGGCTTAGTCAACGTCCAAACCATGTATCAGAAGGGTCGGAGAGAGTCTGTGATGGGGCTGGACGCTTCCCCTTGCGCCATGGCACATGGTTTCCCCCTGGAACCTAAGGTTCTGAAGTTTTGGGGCATGCAAGAGGCTTCTGTACAGGTCCCACTCAATCAAAATGGGACATTTGCTTTATAGACTCTATTATTATGGACCCAGAGGATCAATTATGGGAAACAACAAATGGTGCTCAGGGGGATCTGTGCTCAGAATTTGCTAATGAGCTTTGGGTGTGGTTGTTTTGGCCACAGTTGTAAGCAGGACAATTTGTGAAAAATCCCCAGAGAAAGGGACATTTACATAAAAACTCCTCCTAAAAGAATATGTGCACCTGTCATTTGTTAACAATGTATCAATATTTGGTAACAAGTGTTGAAAATATTTTTGAGAACTGATGAATATGTTGCAGAGTTCTAAAGAATAGCAAGGAGAGATAAGAAAGCCTTCCTTGGTAATCAGTGCAAAGAAATATAGGAAAGCAATAGAATGGGAAAGACTAGAGATCTCTTCAAGAAAGTTAGAGATACCAAGGGAACATTTCATGCAAAGATGGGCTCAATAAAGGACAGAAATGGTATGAACCTAACAGAAGCAGAAGATATTAAGAAGAGGTGGCAAGAATGCACAGAAGAACTGTACAAAAAAGATCTTCACGACCCAGATAATCACGATGGTGTGATCTCTCACCTAGAGCCAGAAATCCTGGAATGAGAAGTCAAGTGGGCCTTAGAAAGCATCACTGCGAACAAAGCTAGTAGAGGTGATGTAATTCCAGTTGAGCTATTTCAAATCCTGAAAGATGATGCTGTGAAAGCTCTGTATTCAATATGCCAGCAAATTTGGAAAACTCAGCAGTGGCCACAGGATTGGAAAAGGTCAGTTTTTATTCCAACCCCAAAGAAAGGCAAAGCCAAAGAATGCTCAAACTATCGCACAGTTGCACACAAGCCAGGCTTCAGCAATATGTGAACCATGAACTTTCAGATGTTCAAGCTGGATTTAGAAAAGGCAGAGGAACCAGAGATCAAATTGCCAACATTCGATGGATCATCGAAAAAGCAAGAGAGTTCCAGAAAAACATCTATTTCTGCTTTATTGACTATGCCAAAGCCTTTGACTGTGTGGATCTCAATAAACTGTGGAAAATTCTGAAAGAGATGGGAATACCAGACCACCTGACCTGTCTTTTGAGAAACCTATATGCAGGTCAGGAAGCAACAGTTAGAACTGGACGTGGAACAACAGACTGGTTCCAAATAGGAAAAGGAGTACGTCAAGGCTGTATAATGTCACCCTGCTTATTTAACTTATATGCATAGTACATCATGAGAAACGCTGGGCTGGAGGAAGCACAAGCTGGAATCAAGACTGCTGGGAGAAATATCAATAACCTCAGATATGCAAATGACACCACCCTTATGGCAGAAACTGAAGAAGGACTAAAGAGCCTCTTGATGAAAGTGAAAGAGGAGAGTGAAAAAGTTGGCTTAAAGCTCAACATTCAGAAAACTAAGATCATGGCATCGGGTCCCATCATTTCATGGCAAATAGATGGGGAAACAGTGGAAATAGTGGCTGACTTTATTTTTCTGGGCTCCAAAATCACTGCAGATGGTGATTGCAGCCATGAAATTAAAAGACACTTACTCCTTGGAAGGAAAGTTATGACCAACATAGACAGCATATTAAAAAGCAGAGACATTACTTTGTCAACAAAGGTCCATCTAGTCAAGACTATGGTTTTTCCAGTGGTCATGTATGGATGTGAGAGTTGGACTATAAAGAGAGCTGAGTGCCAAAGAATTGATGCTTTTGAAATGTGGTGTTGGAGAAGACTCTTGAGAGTCCCTTGGACTGTGAGGAGACCCAACCAGTCCATCCTAAAGGAGATCAATCCTGGGTGCTCATTGGAAGGACTGATGCTGAAGCTGAAACTCCAGCACTTTGATCACCTGATGGGAAGAGCTGATTCATTTGAAAAGACCCTGATGCTGGTAAAGTTGAGGGCAGGAGGAGAAGGGGACGGTAGAGGATGAGATGGTTGGATGGCATCACTGACTCAATGGTCATGGGTTTGGGTGGACTCCGGGAGTTGGTGATGGACAGGGAGGCCTGGTGTGCTGTGGTTCATGGGGTCACAAAGAGTGGGACACAACTGAGTGACTGAACTGAAATGAACTGATGAGTATGTTGGAAGGCACTGAAGACAAGTTTGTCATTCTTACAATTTTGGCTGGTCCATTCACAAGCATCTATAAATGCTGAGTTAGTTCATCAGTGTAAATCATTTAAAAATGTGTTGTTTATTTGTTTCTGGCTGTGCTGGGTCTTTGGTCTGTGGTAGGTTCCTCTAGTTGTGGCAGGTGGGGGCTGCTCTTTAGTTGTGATGTGAAGGCTTCTCTCTTTGGGGCTCCGGGCTCTAGAGTGTGGGCTCAGTAAATGTGGCTCGTGTGTTTAGCTGCTCTGAGGTATGTGGGATCTTCCTGGACCAGGGTTAAATTCGTGTTCCCTGCATTGGCAGGCGATGGTGATTCTTAAACATTGGACCACCAGGGAAGTTTTTAATTGGCTTTAAATCCTACTATAATACTAAAATATTTTATTCAGATGTGGCAGTTCAATATGTCAGCAAATTTAGAAAACTCAGCAGTGGCCACAGGACTGGAAAAGGTCAGTTGTCATTTCAATCACAAAGAAGGGCAATGCCAAGGAATGTTCAAACTACCGCACAATTGTGCTCATTTCACATGCTAGCAAGGTAATACTCAAAATCCTTCAAGCTAGGCTTCAACAGTATGTGAACTGAGAAGCTCCAAATGTACAAACTGGATTTAGAAAAGGCAGAGGAACCAGAGATCAAATTGCCAACATCTGATGGATCATAGAGAAAGCAAGGGAATACTAGAAAAATATCTACATCTGCCTTATTTACTATGCTAAAGTGTTTGACTGTGTGGATCACAACAAATGGTGGAAAATTCTTAAAGAGATGGGAGTACCAGACAACCTTATCTGTCTCTTAAGAAACCTGTATGTAGGTCAAGAAGCAACAGTTAGAGCTGGATGTGGAAAAACTGACTGGCTCAACACTGTGAGATGTGTAAGCCTGACAAGGCTGTATAGTGCCACCCCGCCTATTTACCTTGCAATTCCCTGGTGGCTCAGATGGCGAAGAATCTGCCTGCAATGTGGGAGACCTGGGCTTGATCCCTGGGTTGGTAAGATTCCCTGGAGAAGGGAACAGCTACCCACTCTAGTATTCTTGCCTGGAGAATTCCATGGACAGAGGAGCCTGGCAGGATGCAGTCCACGGGGTCCCAAAGAGTCAGACATGACTCTTCACTTTGTTTAACTTATATGCAGAGTGAAAGTGAAAGTCGCTCAGTCATGTCCGACTCTTTCTGACCCCATGGATTATACAGTCCATGGAATTCTCCAGGCCAGTTACTGGAGTGGGTAGCCTTTCCCTTCTCCAAGGGATCTTCTCAACCCAGGGATTGAACCCAAGTCTCCCACATTGCAGGCAGATTCTTTATCAGCTGAGCCACAAGACATCATGTGAAATGCCAGGTCAGTAAATCACAAACTGGAATCAAGATTGCTGGGAGAAGTATCAACAGATTCAGTTATGCAGATGATACCACTCTAATGGCAGAAAGTGAAGAGGAACTAAAGAGCTTCTTGATGAATGTGGAAAGAGGAGGGTGAAAAAGCTGGCTTAAAACTCAACATTTCAGAAACTAAGATCATGGCACCTGGTCCCATCACTTCATAGCAAATAGATGGGGAAAAAGTGTAAACAGTGATAGCTTCAAACTTGGGCTCCAAAATCACTGTGGATGGTAACTGCAGCCATGAAATTAAAAGACACTTGCTCCTTGGAAGGAAAGGTATGACCAACCTAAAAAGCAGAGATGTTACTTTGTTGACAGCGGTCCATGTACTCAAAGCTGTGGTTTTTCCAGTGGTCATGTAAGAATGTGTGAGTTGGACCATGAAGCAGCCTGAGTGCTGAAGAACTGATGCTTTCAAACTGTGGTGCTGGAGAAGACTCTTGAGAATCCCTTGAACTGCAAGGAGGTCAAACAAGTCAATCTTAAAGGAAATCAACCCAAATATTTATTGGAAGAACTGAAGCTGAAGCTCCAATACTTTGGCCACCTGATGGGAAGAGCCAACTCATTGGAAAAGACCCTGATTGAAAGACAAAAGGAGAAGGCGGCGGTAGAGGATGAGATAGTTTAGATAGCATCGCTGAATCAGTGGACCTGAATTTGAGCAAACTCCAGGAGATAGTGGAGGACAGAGGAGCCTGGCATGCTGCAGCCCATGGGGTCACAAAGAGTTGGACATGACCTAGCGACTGAACAACAACAACTAAAATATTTTATTGAGATGTGGCAGTTCAGATGGGTACCCCTGCATGATGTGATTCTGGTATGTTATTATAACAGAATCAGAAACCTCAGGGTCTAGTTCTAGTTCGAGTCTCAGTTGTGGCATGTGAGAAGTAGTTCCCTGACCAGAAATTGAACCCAAGCTCCCTGCACTGGGGGTGTGGAGACTTAGCCACTGGGCCACCAGGGAAGTCCCCTGAGATACTGCTTTAAAGAGAAGAGGGTTGAAGAAGTTATCCTTGAGAAGAACTTCATAAATATTATTCAGATTCTGTTTGAAGTTTGAGGTCTTTACATTCATTGAAGACTCACAATCTTTCTGGCCACATTTTTGAAGGCTTGTTTTACTTGTCCATTCCTCAGAGTGTAAATGAATGGGTTCAATAAAGGGGCAATTGAGGTATTGAGCACAGCTACTCCCTTATTGAAGGCAACTCCTTCTTTTGCTGAGGGTTTTATGTACATGAAGATGCAGCTTCCATAAGAGAGGGTGATGACAACCATGTGGGAGGAGCATGTGGAAAAGGCTTTCTTCCTTTGCTGAGCAGAGGGGATCTTCAGAACAGTCTGGATGATGTTTGTGTAGGATAGAATCACCAGCGTCAGGGTGACCACCAACGTCACAACTGCTAAGATGAAGTCAACCAGCTCCAGGAGTCTTGTGTCTGAGCAAGATATTTCTATGAGGGGTCCATAGTCACAAAAATAATGATTCAGGACATTGGAGGCACAGAAATCCAGTTGACTGGTCAGGATGATTGGAGATAGGATGATGAGAAATCCAGCCAGCCAAGAGCAGAGGACTAGCTGGATGCAGACTCTGCTGTTCATGATGGTCATGTAATGTAAGGGTTTGCATATGGCCACATAGCAGTCATAGGACATGGCAGCCAGAAGGTAAAACTCTGTGGCCCCAAAGAATATCACAAAGAAATACTGAGTGAAGCAGCCAGCAAAGCTGATGCTCTTGTTCCCAGTTGAGATACTGAACAGTAGCCTAGGAGTGAAAGTGGTTGTAAAGGCAATTTCTAAGAAGGAGAAGTTCCAGAGGAAGAAATACATGGGCGTGTGGAGGTGGGAGTCCAGTAGTGTGGGGGTGATGATCGTCAGGTGTCCTAAGATGCTGGTTATGTAGGCGAGGAGGAGAAGTATGAAGATGATACTTTGAAGCTCTGGGATGTCTGTTAGTCCCAGCAGAATGAATTCTGTTATATAGGTTTGGTTTTTCATTGCTAGCCTTTGCTGCCTACAAAGGAAAGAAATCAGTGATGAGGATGGAAGAGGATCTCGGAAACCTTTGGGAGAGCCTAAGCTTTACTTGTTGAGTTGGTTCAAATGCCTTTTTTCTGTCATTTTGACTTAAATGAGTTTTTCTATTGGACAGAAGTTGACTCTTCACAAGAATTTCTTTTTTAAAAAAATCAATTTATTGGTTTTTTTTTGTTTGTTTGTTTTACTTTGCTATTGAGATGTGTGAGTTCTTTACGATTTAGTAACCCTTTATCAGATGCGTGGTTTCCAAATATTATCTACTATTCTGGTTGGTTGTCTTTCATTTCATTCATGGTCTCTTGAATGAAAGCTGGGGATAAGTTTTTAATTTTAATTAATTTATTAACTGATTAATTAATTGATTTTAGTTCCCTAATGAGGGATGGAACCCTTGCCCCCTGCAGTAGAAGTGCAGAATCTTAACCACTGGACTGCCAGGGGAGTCCCAAGGATTATTTTCTTAAATTTTCATGTATGAGGGTTTTCTCCATGGTCCTTTTCAACTTTTCATGTACTTCCCTAGCCTACCTTCTAAACCAGTGCCTAAGTTATCATTTTCTATATTTCCTATTTTTATTTTCATTTTCAAAGTTAACTTTACTTTTGATCTTTCTTTATTTCTGCTAAGTTGGCAGTGAAATTTCATTTCTGTAACTCTCTTGGTCTCAGTGTGAGAAGAAATGCTAACTTGTTAGCTACAGTTGAGGACATCAGCAATGCCATTATGACTGTGGTAACCAAAGATGCCCCAACTTTTCTCTGATGTTGTAAATTTGAGACCATTGTAACTAACTTCACCAGTCTCACAATTGCTGCTGCTGCTGTCAGCTTTCCCTCAGGTCCCGGTTATCCTGTCTTAGGGGGCTTCAGCAGAGGAACAGACAGTATCTCTCCAATCAGATACCTGCTATCATTTTCTTACATGTCCATGTTTGTTGATAAGCATGTAATTTTACTCTGGCTAGAAAAATATAACTGGAATCAAAAGTTGTGAGCCTTATTGAGAAATTTGATTTTTTTCTTCTAGTATCTTTAAAATTTCTGCCTTTAGTGGTTTCTCCCTAATTTTTCCTCCTTTCTTCAGACACTAATGAGGTATCTCTTACTTTGGCACTTCTTTCTCCCAAACACACATACAGGTGGTTCGCCTGCTTTAGTTTCCAGATGAGTGAAATGGTACTTACACCTGTCTCATGCTACCCCTCAAGTGGATATTTGTAGCCCTGAATTCTTATTTCATTTTCATCTCCGTATCATTAACCTTAACATATTTCTTTTAGATATTCTCCCCTCTAACTAAACTTAATATGCTAAAATTATATCAGCATATTTCTACCTTGTGATTAAAAACATCTTTAAATGTCCAAGCTCTTTGATAGATTTTTTTTTGTTTGATGTTTTAAGATATTTCCTTTTGAAATGAGTGTTGGTTCCCTTGCCTTTCCTCTGCTCTTAAGGGACCTACATTCAGTCTTTGGAGAGATGTAATGTACACGTGAAACAGATAACGGTTGGGACTTCTCTGGTGGTCCAGGGGTTAAGCATTCACCGACCAGTGTGAGGGACACGGGTTTGATCCCTGGCCCAGGAGGATTCCACATGCCGTAGGGCAACTAAGCCTGTAGGCCGCATCTACTGAGCCTGCGTGCCCTGGAGCCTGTGCTCTGCAACAAGAGAAGCCGTTACGAGAAGCCTGTACACCGCAGCTAGAGAGTAGCCTCTGCTTGCTGAAACTAGAGAAAGCCCATGCATAGCGATGAAGACCCAACTCAGCCAAAAACAAAAATAAATTTAAAAAATAGAAAATGATTAATGACTGAATAGAATACATTAATTCCTATCTTAAAAATATTACTTTATACAAAGTGGCAGTTTTATAACTTCATGTTTTCTGCTAGAAGTCAGTTGAGAAAACTGTTCATGGACCACTGTTGTTTAACAGCCAAGTCGTGTCCGACTCTGCAGCCCCATGGACTGCAGCCGGCCAGGCGCCTCTGTCCTGGGGATTTCCCAGGCAAGGAGACTGCAGTGGGCTGCTGCTTCTTTCCCCAGAATAGACCACTGACCTAAGTTTAATTTTCTGAGCATTTAGCCACTCACATTCAAAAGGAAAATTATAGTCCTTGCATTGACCCTGGCAATATATGGCTCAAGCAAATAGTTTCTCTCTGTTTCTGTAGCCATAAGGCTATAGCAGTTACAGGCCTCTGTGAGAGCTGGCCTCTTCCTTCCCTTCCAGCAGATCTCCTGTGCAAATGGGGAGGAAAATCAGCGAGTTAAGTCCAGTTGCTAAGTATGTTATCTGAGTAAGATAATCTGTGCAAAGTGTAATTAGCATTTGTGAGATTAAAACATCTCACATCTTTAATGCCATAAAACTGGCATTAAAAAAAATTGTGGTCAAAAACACAAGATAAAATTTACCATCTTAACCATTTTTTTTCTTTTTTAAAAATACATTTATTTTAAAATTGAAGGATAATTGCTTTACAGAATTTTGTTGGTTTCTGCCAAACATCAACACGAATCAGCCAAAGTGTGGAGTTCGATGTTAAGCATATCCACATTGTTGTGCAACAGATCTCCAGACTTTTTCATCTTGTAAAGCTGAAATGTTATGCCTGTTGAACAACTCTCCCTACTCCCACTCAACTGCTGTTCCTGGCAGCCACCATTCTACGTTCTATTTTTATGATTTTGACTACTTTAGACATCTCATATAAGTGGAATCATACACTATGTGTGTATGTATGTATGTATGTATTTTTGTGACTGGCTTATTTCACTTAGTGTAATGATCTCAAGGTTAATAATCCATGTGACAGGATTTCCTTCCTTTTAAAGATTGAATAATTTTCCATTGTATGTATATATCACATTTTATCTACCCATTCATCTGCTGATGGATGTTTGGGTTGCTTCCACTTCTTGATTATTGTGAATAAAGCTGCTATAATCATGGGTGTCCAAATATATCTTCAAGATTCTACTTTCATTTCTTTTGGATATGTATCCAGAAGCATATTTTGCTGGATCATATTATAATTCTATTTTTAGTTTTGTTAGAAATAGCCATGCAACTTTCCATGGGGGCCACATTCTATGTGGAAATTTTATATCAAAATGAATATCTGAATGTCTGTGGCACAGGATAAATACAGAGAGCTGTCTGATTCTAAGATAAGAATTAACATAAATGATGCATTCTATTTGGGCATTATCCATTTTCTGTTTTATGGGTATATGTCACCTTTCCAAAAACAGATTGTAAGTTCCTTAAGGGCAGAGGAAGAGCAGGAGAACCAACACTTATTGAATGATTATAGTGTTGGTATTAAAGTAGGCTCTTTCATAAATAATATTCTTCTTTTTTGGTATTCTTTAACCCCCCCAACAACACTGGCAAAAGCACACAGCATAATAAATACATAATTGTTAAATAAATGAAAAAAAGATAGTGCCTTTTTTCTCTACTCCTTATTTTGCTCTTCATTAAGCCTTTTATCTTTGGCCATTTGCTATATAAACTTTACATTTTCCTAGCTTTTTAAAATCTAACAACAAATAAGAGTGTTTAAGAGTCAGTCTAGGGTAAAGTCTCTTGAGCCTATAAACTGACTTTACTGTTTCCTGTCTCTCTCCCACTGATGAAAGTCAAGGAGTCATGTGTGTTATCTGGTCTCTGCTCTAAGAGCTGAGAGCCCAACCTCTATCATCAAGGTTGTATTTTGAGATTCCCCTTGTTCACACTTGGCGCTTTTCAACCACCAGATTATAAAAATCTATATTTCTCTTATTTGTTGCTGTGCGTGAGGGGAATGCAATAATTTTAAAATGTATATAAGGACTTCCCAGGTGGCACAGTGGTAAAGAAGCCACCTGCCAATGCAGGAGACACAGGCATCTGTTTCGAACCCCAGGTTGGGAAGATCCTCTGGAGTGGAAAATGGCAACCTACCCCAGTATTCTTGTCTGGGGGATCCCATGGACAGAGGAGCCTGGGGTCTACAGTCCACGGGGTCACAGAGTCAGGCGTGACTTAGCAGCTAAACAACAACAACAAATGTATATAAAGTTTGTTGGACTCTCTCTCTTGCTTAGTTTTCATAATACTGAGCTGTCACTGATGGAAAGGCAAATCTCAGACACCAATTAACTTCAGGAGGGGCTTTCAGGAACTACTTAAACTTTTTAGCATCAACACCTGGTGGTGGTTTAGTCACTAAGTCACGTCCGACTCTTGTGACCGCATGGACTGAAACTCGCCAGGCTCCTCTGACCACTGACTCTGAGGGACTGGTGTTCCTTTGCACCCAGACTCCTCCATCCTACGCCCTCGAAGCCTCCTAGATGGGCTGAGTCACTTCGCTTGGGATACAGGAACGGCTCTAACACAGAACCAGGAAAGGGACTACCAGGTTATTTGGTCATATCATACTTTTACAAAAGCTCAGCATTTATCCCAAGCAAGAAGCCTCAAATTTCTAGAATCCTTTAGACATCTTCATGCCGTTCTGATCTTTTAAGGCCCCTGA